AGTTAATTTAGATTTTGACTGTTTGCACTTTTATTTTTATTTCAGCAAAAGTGTTACTAAGGCCTGATATTTAACTATTATTCTAGATTTATAAAACTGGATCTTTTAGAAATTATGTTGAGAGAGTGTTAAAGCATCTAAATTGGCCTATAAAATACTAGCTTATCTTCTTACCAAAGAAGCCTTGGAGAAAGCAATAATTTTAGTATTTAATGTCTAAGAGATTAAAGCTTTAGAAATTGTTATTGCTGCAGAGCAGAAAACATTAAAACATTTTCAGTTTTACTGAAGCTTTTATCCACATTTACATCTAGCACTTAGACAGATTATGATGTGCACGGTTATGTCACAGGGACAGTTTGCATTATTTATGTGGCTTTTAGTTTATAATGATGTTAAACCTGCACAAACGCATAACATAGAGAGGAATGTAGGTGCATTTGCAACAGTGGAGACTATAACTCATTTCTACCTGAAAGTGTTATGAAATAAAAGGAAAAATCTAAGAAAAAGTACTTCTACTTTACAAATGACACACTTAAGAAACTGTGTTCTATGTAATCTGCATTTTTAATGAGATAGTTCATATTCAAATAGTTTCTCAACAATCCGTAAGCAAATTCTAAAATCCAATGTATTTTGAAGTATCTGTCTTTTTCAGATAGGCAAAAAGGTCTGAGGGAAAAAAAATGTTGGGTATTATACAATGAATGGAGGAATGTAGACAGTGCCTTGAAATTATATTTCTTCTAGATTAACTGAGGGGAAAGATTTTTTTTTAATATTTTATTTATTTATTTATTTGAGAGAGAGAGAATGTGTGTGTGCATGTGCACGTGCACGCACATGCAAGAGTAAGAGGGAGAGAGAATCTGAAACAGACTCGGCTGAGAATGGAGCCCAATCCCATGACCCCAAGATCATGACCTGAGTGGAAACAGAGTTGAATGATCAACTGACTGAACCACCCAGTGCCCCCAAAGGTAAAGATATTTCTCACACACTATTTTTCAATTACGTTATTTTTCAAGACACAAATTTTATTTTTAAATGCAATTACCTTAGAACAAATTTTTTGTTTGTCCTGAAACATTTTGTACTATATTTTAATTAGTTACTATATTAAGAGAAAAATGAATCTGCTCTGATCGAAATTAGAATAAGGACATGAGAAAGTCATCTTCTTTTAAGAATACCTTCACCACTTCCTGACATGGTACCCTCTAGGGATGAGGTTCTAGAAGCATCTAGGAATTACACTAAAATACAGATTTTCAGGTGTACTCTGAGATTTTGATCCAAGTGTTTCAGAACTGCATTTAAATATATATATGTATGTATGTATACATACATATATATGTATATATAGTGTGTGTGTGTGTATATGTGTGTGTATGTATAAATTGACAGTGGCCCTAATCACCATTTTGAGAAACTTCCCTAAGGCTTCTATGAACACAGTTAGAAACCACTAATCTAGAACAGGCATACACATTCCCCTAGACATCATTCCATAACAGAAATGAAGTGTGGAGAACTTAATTTTGCCTGAGGGAATGATATATAAAATCATCCCCAAGATAAATCTTAATACCAAACCTCATTTAACCAACAGATGGGCGTTTAGTCAAAAAAAAATTGATTTAAGGGCCAAGGACTCAAAACTTTGCTCTCTTTGGCTTCCTGTAGTAAAAATAAATAAGCTGCATCAAACAAAGACTCCTTCTAGGAGATAAAAACAATTACAAATTTATGGTACTTAGCTATGAACCAATTTACATACTATGGTAAAATTGTCTGAACTAAAGGACTAGGCTAATTAAACTGATCCTGGAGGTCAGAGTAGAGAAGTCTGAGATCAAATAAAACTACAAACGGGAAGAAATCATGACACAACACTTCCAAATCTAAACATATTTAAATTTGAATTAGCTTCAAAGCTCAGGTGCTAGGTGATCCAAATACCTTAATTCAATGCTAAACAATTAAAAAAAAAATGTCAGCTGAGTAGGACTAATGTTTTTGCCAAGTTCCCTAGTAGTTCCTCATATGTGAATGGGTATAAAATCATTTTTCTTCTGTTTTTTTCTTTTTTACTACATTATGTTTCTTTTTTCCAAAACACTCAGAAAATAACTTTTCAGCTAAATGTTCGTGTCACTAAATAAGTTAAAGGAAATGGAAATTTCACCCAACCCCAAACTCAAAAGAACATGCAAATAGTGACTGATGATATTTACACTAAATGAATTTTACTTTATTTCACTGGAGTGAAATAGTTGAGAACAATAATGATTTCTATGTGCCTTGATTTCAATCCTAGGTAAAAATCATGCTTACGTGCCCTTCATTAGGCCCTGCTAGGCAGAGTGTAGAAAGAATCCACTCATCAAGCTCTGTGCTGAGGCCATGGCTATATATTCCCAGCTCAAGAAGAGATACCTTTTACTAAGTCATATCAAAATGTTGAAAAAACCAGCTGTACTCTCCATAAACAACAAGTGAAAACTAAAGATGTATCCCTTTTGTAGACCACAAAGTTCATTTCAGATACTTCGGTATAAAGGCTTATGGGTCCATTAAAGCATAAAGACCAAAGGGTAGAGCATCATTTGGAACATGGCTTCATTTATAGCTTTTACTGCTATATTTTCATGATGAAACACACATATTAAGATATTATCTAAGGGGCACCTGGGTGGCACAGTTAGTTGCCTCTGACTCTTGGTTTTGACTCAGGTCATGATCCCAGAGTCATGAGATTGAGCCCTGAATCAGGCTCTGCACTGGGCATCAAGTCTGCTTGAGATCTTTGTGCCCTCTCCCTCCACCCATACTTCCACACCATTCTCTCTCTCTAAAATAAATAAATAAATATATATCTTTTTAAAAAAAAAAAAGATGTTATCTAAGATTTGACTACACAATGAAAACTTCCCTACATATTCCCACACCACCATGACTTTTCTAGACTTTTTATTGCTTCATTAAATACATGAAGTGAGAGAATATTTTGAAATATTTTAATGTGCTTTTTGTCTTTGGCACTTGTTTATGAATGATCTTCACCAACCTGAGCCCAAATCCATCTTTGCCTTAAGGAGAACTTGATTACAGAACATGAAGATGGGAAAAGAATTGGTGTAGAGTTTTGTGATTTTCAAAATTGAGTCAAAAACTATTTCAAACACAATTGACTTAAAACCTTGGCTTTAAATTCCTGGAGCCACACATCTGGGAGAGAAAAAGCATTTTCTAAATTAGAAAAAGCTTCCCTCTAAATATAAAAAATAAAATTTGGAAAACAGAGTTTGGAAATTTACTATAAGCCACTAAGTAGGATGGATATATGATGCATAAAAAACTATTTCTTATTACAAAATAAAAATGTCAAACCTTCCTTGGCTGCATCAGAAGGAGCCTGGAGAAGAGAGGAGCAGAAACCTGGGGGAGATGCAAGCTTAGGGACTACTCTCTTCTCCACATTCATTGTCATATACAGAATGTCGATTAAATATTACCTAAATAGTCATTTAAAAATATATTTAATTTTTTTTGCTTTGCAGCCCATAATTATAAATCTATAAATATATAGGTCCTAATCACCAATTAATTCAACAAATAATTATGAAGACTTAATATATGTCAGTCATTTAGAAATAATGCAATAAATAGGGAAGCCACAGACCCTGTGATTCCTGAGTATGCAGTCTATGGAGGGAGCAGGGGGAAAAGACAAGTCAATTAAAAGCAAATTATATTACTCTGCTTATAATATGCTAACACATATTTACACCTTTACCACATGGAAGGGAAATTCTAGTTTGCCTTTTTCTTTATTGAAATACAGATTATTAATGCAATATGGTTTATTTAGATGTGCCAGAAATACTTTCTGAAATTACCCTTTGCTTTTCTAGGAGTCAGAAGTGGCCCAAGGAAAATTTGAATACTGAAAATCTCCAAAATTAACTGCCAACTGTTGAAGGGAATCAAAACACATGGTATTAATATCTGCTACTCTATATACTTTGGACAACATGGCTGATAATATTGAAATCCAATGATGGTAAAACTGGAACCCTTTTAACAAAACAAAACAACAAGAGAGAGATCAGAAAACCAGTGTTAAAAGCCAGCCCAGAAGATATTATGGCTTCTTTGAGTACCTGGTCAGGTTGCCCAAGGCAATAATTAACTAGCAGTAGACACACCATTAGTTTTCCTCGAAAACAGAAGCCATAGAAGTGGGGCTCTTGAAACTTTAACCGTGGAGAGGTATGAAGGCATAAAGGTTTTGAAAACATTCCCTGTAATATAAATGGGGATCCTTTCACCATCTTTAGGATTACTTCCATGAAACCATTAAAAGAAAAGAATGAAGGATGGGACCTTATGAGAAGTAAGCTCTAAATATATCTGTGGCCTACAAAACAGGGAAAGGTATGAGTTATGAAGCCTTGGAAAGAAAAGACCAAAATAAGTGACAATGAAGATGAAAGACTAGAAGAAAAGGGAAAGGTGAGGAGAAAGAGGATCTTAAAAAGGAGGAAACAAAAGACTCAGGCAGAGGAAGGAAGAAATGGATAATTCTATTCAATTTATTTAAAATTTTTTTTAACTTTTTAAGTAGGCTCCATTCCCAACATTGGGCTTGAACTCGAACTCACAATCCTGAGATCAAGAGTCACATGCTCTACTGAATGAGCCAGCCAGGTGTCCCTGAATAGATAATCTTAAAACAACATTTGTGGTAATATTACAAATTATTATTTTTCTTATATATTTCTCTAGTTTCTATGACTTTTATAAGAGCATTCATAGCTTTTTAAATTCAATGGCTTTTTTCCCCCAATTTTATATGAAAACTACACATAGTCCATCTACTCTCTAATTTGATCTTTACAATAGTAGTGGCTTAAGATAAGGTGATGTAGCAGGAATTTGGAAGCTGCTTAATACAGTTCCTAAAAACATGTTCAAAATGTGTGGTCACTTACGTTGTATGATCCACCAATGGCCTATGATTTTCTTCCCCATGATGAATACTGGTTCCATTACCAAGTCCCCATCTGAATGTGTTTGAATCTTGAATTAGCATTTCTGGAATTGATTGGTACCACTTACACAGGCTTTCTTTTTCAAAGCTGCAAACTTTCATAACTTGAATAGAGTAAAACAAAGACAAGATGAACTAATCACAATAAATGTATCAATAAATGACAACTTACCCGTAAAAGGCACTTTTTTACTGTTGGGTTTCTTTTCTTAGTTATCTTTTAAGCATAATTAAAATAATTAGACAAATGATTTATATAATCACTAGAAGAGTTTTAAAGAAATCTATGTGCACCATATTCAAATATCTACAGTAGCTGTAACATGGGCATAAATGCATATAATAAAACATTTGTTCTGATAAGGAGGTGAGATTTTAATTATGTCCTAGAATAGCAATCTAAGCATTGCCAGTTTCTCTTCACATAACATTGATGTTACTTACCAAGGTCTGGTAAGTCCATTCTTTTGCCACAGTATTATGAAAAATCTAAACTTCAGTTAAGTCCTTGAAGCAGTCAGTCCAAATTCCAAACTACTTTAATTCAAAGCAGTAATATTTTCCTTGAATTTTTTTTCAATATTCTTGTAATGACTGTATTCTAGTATCACATGCAACTACAACTACAATGATTTTTGAAATACATAGGCTCTGTGTGAAATGTTCTTTCTTTCTCTCTAAACATGCCCATGTGTCTTAAATTCTCCACTGTTCTTGTGTATACTACAGAAGACTCCAACTTTTAAGTGGCATAGGCAGTGTTGGCAAACCACCACCATCACTTAGAAACTTTAGTTCATGATTTAATGTAAAGTTTGAGAAGGAAACACTCCATCAAAAAAAAGTGATTTTTAATCACAACATTCAATTATGTTATTTAATCTCTGACATTAATAGTGGTCATATAATTATCTTGTGAAGAGATTTAAATAATTTTTTTTGTTTCAGAGGTAGAGTTCAGTGATTCATCAGTTGCAATAACACCCAGGGTTCATTACATCAAATGCCCTCCTTATTGCCCATCACCAAGATACCCTCCAATCCCCACCCACCAGAGATTTAAAAATCAATAGGATTCTGTTCTTCATATCATTAAAAAAGAAATGAATCACAGATTTTTCTTAAATTAGAGAGCATAAAGTTTTAGTCAAGCAAGATGAGTGAGCCTGAAGATCTGCTGTACAACATTGTACCTGGTCAACAATAATATATTGTGCACTTAAAAATTTGTTAAGAGTAGCATTCATGCTGTGTTCTTTACACAATAAAAAGCATTGGAAAATGTAAGATCAAAGATAACAGGCAGACATAACATTTCATCTTACAAAAAGATGGAGGAAGCAAGATCACATAATTTGTTCAGAATGAAGTAATAATTCAGTTCATGTGTATTCAAAGTAAATTAATAATCCCAAGATTTTAGAATAGTAATTTAGTAGGAGATATTCATTCAGGACACTTGAAGAACTTTATCACAACGGCTCACCCCATCATAAATGATGTTACTAAAATTACAAAGTTGAACTAAGAAGAAAATCAGTATTCACTAAAGACACTCATTAGGTGTAATCAACAGGATTCTGTGTAAGCTTTCGGAAACGCCACAATTTATGTATGATCATAACAGGATTTGGTCTTCCCAGGAGGAAGTTTGAATACCACAACACCTTCCATTATATTATCTCCCATCTCCAGTGCAACGTATGTATCTCTAGTCAACTTGAGTTAATTACTATCTCGTCTCATCCACAGAGTGAGTTAGCTTTGATTTTTTTGAGTTTGGGGGTCTAGATAAGTTAGTTAATTTACTGTGTATCCTTACATTAAAAAGCATTTCATTTGCTAAATTAAAATAAACATGAACCTTATTTGACTTTCTAAGTTTTAGAATTTCTTCACAATGCTGGCAGAAGATGGAATAGAGCTTCATTACACTCTGTATTATCTGCATGGTCTGAACCCTTAATATCATCAAGACACTTGAGAAATATTATACTATAGGAAATTCATATACTATCCAATAAATAGAGAAGGGGAAAATGGCATAAGTATTCACTCCTTCTCATCTTGCACTTTGCCCATTCAGACCCAGATCAATTTTTCTCCTCTATGACTGTATCTTTGGCTGAGAAGTTCACTTTTAGATTAAACATTTGCCTTAGAAGCTATATATTGGCACATGTCCGTAAGTTCCAGAAAAAGGGGCCCATCTGTATTAAAATTGGGTCTTATGAATTCTACACATTTAACATAGTATTCATTTTATATTTTGCTAATGGCAAATAGCAAATATTTGCTATTAGCAAAATATAAACAAATTCATCTAATTTGAGAGTTTTAAAATACTTTCACCTTGACCATTCCTATTTCATGAGTGTGAGGAGTAGAATAGAGACAAACAGGGGGTGGATAGCAAAGAACTAGTAAATCATAGTCCCAGAGTCAAGTAATATCCATGAAACAAGTGTTTTGAATCCAAACATCAATTAAGAAAAAATTACCTCTTGTTGAGCATCATAGACGAATGCATGCTGATTCTTCTATAATTTGCTATACAAACAGCTTTTATATTAAAACCTCATGTAAGCTAAGTTGAAAATTTCTAACTATGGCACTAGGCCATGCTACTTAAAGATTATACAGGTATTGTTTTATCTGTTTCATGGCTATATTTAATACAAAATAGAAATTCACCTACCACAGAATGATTTATCTGATTGGTCAGGACGGTCATATCTAAAATCACACTTCTGGACTTTTTCAACACAGTGACCATCGGACCTGCAAACAAATTCATTGTCTGTACAGTTGTGTGGAGGTAATGTTACTGGAGCGGACATTTCTGGTGGAGTTGGGAGGTCCACTGGCAAGTTACCTTGATAAGAGATAACATACAGGCATGATTCAATAGATTTTCCATTTAAGATTTTAGACAATAAGTTTTTCTAAGTATGTTTCACATTGTATATTATAAAAAATATTCAGTACTCTTTGGTAATAAGCTGAATTTCATGGAATTTGGAGTCCTCAGTCTTAGTAACAACAAATAACTGCATATAAATAAATGAAGGCGCAGATAGAAATTACTGAAAAACTGTTCAGTAATATCAGAATAAATGAGAGGCTCAAGGACAGTGCAAGGAGCAGTGGGAGTCAAGGGAGTCCCAGAGGGTGGCATTAGGAACCAGAGGCAAGGTCTGGTTAAACCTTCTAGTCCACTAGGTAAACTAACTTTGCTCTTCCACTGCTACAATTAATCCAGCAACTCCTCATCCTTGTTATATCTGCTCTCACATATTTAAGATTCATAGTTGCAAGTGAGACCCAACTAGAGGTATTCACCTGGAAGTATTTATATAATTAAGTAATAATTTCTGAAGTTACAGAGCTTAGAAGAAATATATAGAAGTTAATTTATACAGCAAGTTATTCAATCAACACTAATTAATAACACGCTATGTCATGGACATGGTAGGTGCAATGGATTGAAAGCCAAGTCTGCCATCAATGCAGTAAAATAATTTACTGACTAATAGAGAAAGCAATTAGATAAATCTTTCATTATAATTCCACGGGATACATTTATGATAAAAAGTATAATACCATGGAGGCAAGAATGACACCTATCCTTTCACTCCTTCATTCTAGCACAATTCACAGACCATGGTACATGGTTGGTACACTATCACTGTGAAACGAATTAATAGACGAGTAGAAGGATGGATGGATGGATGACAGAGTGAATGAATAGATGGACAAATGGAAGATTGCACTGTATATGGAGAACACATGAAAGGCATATATCAGATGGGAGGTAGGGAAGACTTCCTGGAAAAGTAATGTTTTAAGTTTTTAGCTATATATATTTTTTAAGGATTTTATTTATATGAGAGAGAGAAAGAGAGAGTGCACAGGCAGAGGGAGGGGCAGCAGGAGAGGCAGAGGAAGAAGCAGACTCCCTGCTGAGCACAGAGCCCTACACAGGGCTCCATTCCAGGACCCTGAGATCATGACCTGAGACAAAGTCAGATGCTTGACCAACTGAGCCACCAAGGTGCCCCAAGTTTTTAGCTTTAAAAGATGAGGAGTTCCTGTCAAGATGAAAAGGGGTACAAGGTCTTTTGGGGCAATGAGCAAAGATTTGTGTGAAGGCAGAGAAATACACTGGCCCATTGTTTGTGGAATACTGTGAGAATTTGCAGAGAGCATCTTGTGGTGCAGTAAGAATGTGTGTGATAAAGTCACTAGATGTGTAACTTGTTGGGAGACAATTAGCACATCATAAAGAGCTAAATGGGACCAACTTAGGAGTTTGGAATAAATACAAGAAGCAGTGGAGAAATGCCAAGGTATACAATTTCCAATTTAAGAAATACTTCTCTGTCATTAGTGTGAAGAATGATTTGCAGGTGGTTCTGACAAGAAGGAGAAAAACTAAGCTTTCACTTTAATTCCAGGCAACTAATAAACCAAAGCAGAGAGAGTTTGGAGGAAAGACCAGAGACCTGAGCAACAGCAAACACCCAGTATCTAGCCTGGGAATTCAGGTGCTGTTGGGAATTTGAGGACGGTCCAATAAATAGCACTTTGTTTCTTAGCTCAAGTTTTGAAATAATTAAGAACTGAGACTGAAATATATAGCAGATAGATCAAAAATATCACCTTTTTATGTAAGAGTTGATCATGAAGAAAATGTCCCATACCTATAGACAGGGGGTCTTTTAAAGTATAAAATTCAGAAAGGAACAGACTCTCTAAATTATAACTTGTGCTAGAAACTTCCAGTTCTCCTTGTATAGAAGCCTATCATGGTGAACTACAGCAAGAAGTGAAGTAGATCTTATGCTTCCTTGAACTAAGTAGCTCAAAAAAGAAAAGAAGAAAGTAAGGGAACAGTTATGCATACTGAGGCCCTCCTTACAAATCCAGCAACCCATTGTTACTTTTCCACAGCTGACAATAGGGTGCACTCTTAGAGTTTTACTTGCTATGGGTTTTAACAAATGTACAATGATGCTTCCACCATGACAGTGTCATACAGAGTGTGCATTAAAATAATCTTTTGTCTCTGCCTTGCCATCCCTTCCCTCCCCAGAAGCCCTGGCAAACATGGAGCCTTTTACTGTCCCCATAGCATTCCCTTTCACAGAGTGTCATATAGTGGGAATCATATGTTACCTTTGCAGATTGGCTTCTTCCTCTTAATAATATGCATTTAAGTTTATTCCAGGTCTTTACATGGCTTGACGGTACATTTCTTTCCAGCACTGAATAGTATTCCCTGCTTTAGGGTTTTCAACTAAATGAATCATCAGCTAAATATGTATTATATGAATAGTCTATATCTCTTGTCAGGCAGGGCAGTAACATCGTATATACCTTGCTTATTATAAAGTGTTAAAGTATGCTACAATACAAATCATTGTACATTTCTTTTTGAACACTTCTTTGTGAACACAAGCCAGAGTATTTCCAACATAAAACATCTTGAAATGAAATTGCAGTTATAGGGTATGTGATCAGTCAACTTAAGTAGTTATTTCAAAAGTGGTTTTATCCATTTCCATTAAAAAATGTGTGTATTTCACATATTCTCAGGATGCAGCTAACACTTGGTATTATCCAATGTAGGAAAGATTTGCCAGTATAATGGGTCTGAAATAAAAATTCTTTTATACTTTAACATGTATTTCCCTAAGTATTGAGACTTTTTTTTTTAATTTTAGGGTTCACTCAGGTACCTTACTCTAGCTTTTTTTAAAAAAAAACTTTATTTATTCAAAAGAGGCAGAGACATAGGTAGAGGGAGAACCAGGCTCCCTTGGGGGATCCTGGTGCAGGACTCCACCTCAGGACCCTGGGATCACGACCTGAATCGAAGGCAGATGCTCAACCACCAAGCCACCAAGATGCCTCCCTTACTCTAGCTTTTAACTAACTATTAATATCCCTTGTTCTTTTATTCTATTGAATTATTTGGGTTTTTAAAAATTAATTTATAGGTTTATATCCTATATATACTACACTAATCCTCTGTCATTCACCTAGGTGACAAATATACTCTACTAGTCTATGGTATGCCTTTTCATTTTATACAGTGTCTTTCAAAATAAAAATTTCTAATTTAATGCCTTTCAATTTATCAGTTATTTTCTTTATGGTTTGTACTTTAAAGCTTCACTGGAAAAAAATTGTTTCCTGTTTTATCATCAATATTTTTTCTACAATTTCACAGAATTTTGCTAGTTTTACTCTTCACATTTAGGTTCTTACTCCCTCTGGACTTTACTGTTATCTGTTGTCTGTATAAGATTCTAAATTAAATTTTCTTTATATGAATGGCCAATTTTTGATCTAATGATCTATTGAGCAACTCAATTTTTTCTCACTTTATATTGGATTATGAAACATATTACTCAGATATAAGAATGGAGAGAAAACATATGCCTGATTTAAACAGTAATAAAAAGAATAGCCATAAATCTACCATCCAGCCTATGAAATTAAAATTCGCAGCTTTGAACCCTCCACTGTTTCTTTGCAGATCCCACGCCCACATTCCCATATCTCCAGGATAGCAGTGCACTGAATCTTGTGTTTTCCATTTGCTTTTTTTTTTCTTTTAAGATTTTATTTATTTTTAGAAATAGGGCATGTGAGTTGGCTGGGGGGGAACAATGGCAGAGGGACAAGCAAACTCCATCCTGAACATGGACCCTGACAAGGAGCTTAATCTCATAGCCCTGAGATTATGACCTGAGCCAATATCAAGAATTGGATGTTTGGGACGCCTGGGTGGCTCAGTAGTTGAGCATCTGCCTTCAGCTCCAGGAGTGATCCTGGGGTCTGGGAATAGAGCCTTGTATCCACTCCTCACAGGGAACCTGCTTCTCTCCCTATGTCTCTGCCTCTCTCTGTGTGTATTTCATGAATAAGTAAATAAAATCTTAAAAAAAAAAAGTTGGATGTTTGAGCCACCCAGGTGCCCCAAGTTTTAATTTGCTTTTATCATTTTTCTTAATTTGCATATAAGCCAGATAACTATCTCTGGTGCCTATTAGCTCATTATGTGATTAACTGGGTTTGCATGGTGAACTTCTTAGAACAGTGACTATACACATGGAACACCAGGTAAGCCCTTTTTAAATAAATAAACCATTTAAATTTGAACTTGTATCAATGGACTCATTCTTTATATAACTATTGGCAATTTGATCTACTTCCTCAACAGTGTGCATTCACCCATCCTTGTTAATTGCAGTGTTGTGGTTCACTTATTTTGACTGCTGTGTATATTTCATGATGTGATCAAATAACATATATTATTTAGCCATTCTATCATTGGTGGGTTTTTTTTTTTAAGCTGATTCTGTTTGAGGCTTTATTTCATACATTTCTCCTGATGTTTCTAGGAGGGCAATTGCTTGGTCACAGAGAATGGAGAACCCTATGGTGATTTATTAGAAAAGGCCAAACTGTTTTCCAAAGTCATGGCATCAATTTCCATACCTCCCAACAGAGCATAAATATTCTGATTGTGTTACACACACATTTATCCATTGGTATATCTAGATTTACCCATGTGTTGCCATTTCTTTGTTGTCATATTCCCTTGTGCATCTCAGCCATTGCTGACCTCATTTTATCTTTGTCTGATGTTCACATTTACATAATTCATTTGTTAAGAGTCTGGTGCAGTAAGTCTTCTTTTGTGTTTGTGGGTATTATCCTCTAAATGCCTATTTTTGACCCCCATTACTAAAAGAGTTTTGCTTTGCTCTAGACTAACAGGTGTTATTTCTCAGAACTTTTTTTTTAAAGATTTTTAGTTATTTATTTGAGTGAGAGGCAGATAGTGAGAGAGAGCACAAGTAG